ACAGCAACATTTCCAGGATTTCTCAAATGATAAAATCCTGAGCTGTAACGTCATTGGGAAGATAAGTGTGACATGTAATGAAAACAACTTCCTAAAGGACCTGTATTCAGTCACATTTAGCATGTAAACTGCATGAATGTTACCAAAATAGGGAATAAACTACTAAACTGGTCAACAAGATCAAATCAAAGCCACATCACAAATAGAAGCCAATGAAAATACAGCTCCCACTGGCTGTCATGTTAGGAGCATGCCAACTAAGCTATGCTGATTTAAAGCAAAGTCTATTATGTAGTAGTCTAATGTTGGGATATATAGAAGCCGTAGGTTACTAATCTGGAGAAACATGTCAGAATCATCGATGTCATTTACTGATATAACCAGTTATTCAATAGTCCTCCCATACTGACCATAGATAAAATACCTCCCCTGACAAAAGTTAGGATTTATTAAATGGCCCTTTGTGTACAAAAGATAAAAAGCTAAAACAGAAATGGCCTGGCAGGTGTTACGGTGCAAATAGTGACCGCGTTAACTGGAGACTTTCAGCCGAACGCGTCTGTTGGTGTCCTGCTCACAACGGAATAGAAACGGATAGAGCCTCTTTTGTTAAATCATTCATTTACAGACGTATCTAAAGAGTGCATTTTTAGGCATTTACGTGGACACCTTTCGTGTTTATCAGCTGCGGTTACCGCGAAGAGCACTTTAGGCTGTAAGCCATCAGATGACACGGTCACTGGTCACACGTAACACCGCCAGTTAACACGATCACTGTTTACACAGAAACAGGTCCAAATACTGATCTATCTAGTACTGGGGGATATACTACTTCACCTTAGCTAGATATAATATTAGCCCAACTTTATCAGGTTTGAGAAAACGTTAAAGTAGAGATAGTCTTTAAACTAGCTGGGTAGCTAAATGCTATTGCTAAATACATTTTCATTATGTTACTACTTCAATTTCCTCTCATGTTAATAAGCTTGGCTCTCTACCACCAAACGACATGTATTTAGCATAAAAAACAGTCATAGGCAACCTCAAATATTTCAAACTTAGGTTAATAATAAGTTAATAATAAATATTAATCCCGGGTAATTACTCTTACCTGACAGGAAGGAGGTTTGGAATACACTGAAAAGCTTCTCTTTTGTCCGCGATGGATGTTGACATTGAGTAAATTATCGCCCCCTGCTGGTATGGCACAGATCACAGGCGTGAACATTTGACGCTGAAGACAGGCAATGCGTGACACTGACACGCATCCTCTAGTGGACCAACGTGTCCATTACACGTATGTTAACTCTCGCAGCTGCAGAAAAGTTTTCTCTGGTGCTACTTATTTCCGTTCTTTTCCCCTCGGCTCACTTCCTCTCCCCCTGCGCCACATCCTGCCTTTATAACCTCGGTGATTGAGCCCCACCCATACATTTTGTGCATCAATGGAATATTTGATGCCATAAATGATACAAATGTTTCAATACTTTAGACCAACACATTTTTTTCTTTCTTTGAAACACCTTAATTCATCTTTTGTTTTTCAGACACTTAAACATTTTGTGGCACTGTCATGAACTCCCGGATCGTTAGTGTTTTGTGGTGTAACGCTTCCATGTTTTATGTCAGGGAGGAAGTCACACAGGAGCAGTTACACCCTGATTGACCTCATACATATTATAACCTACAACAAACCACCACTGTCACATGATCCGACTACAGCCTCACCATCTTTCAAACACTGCAGAGCAACATCTCCTGTCCATTAGGCTACTCCCTGGACTACAGCCCATCTGTTTGGAGGTGAGTCTGCTTTAAACACGCAGGTGTAAGAGGGTCATTTATTTATAATTCATGAATTTAAAGGGGAATCTACAGGAGTGACTAATAAAGTCAATCAAAGAGCTCTAAATGAAAGAAGTGACAGTTCATTTTTAAATCAATTGTCTCAGGCAACCGATATGATCAGTCATTCGACCTGTTTTTAACTTTGAAATGATGATTAATCCTCATGAGGCTACAAGGTTATATTTCTGCTCAAACTGAGCATTAAGGAAGTCAAACCTCTGCCTGCACTGTTTTTAAAGGTAAAGAAAGCGTCCAATAACAGTGAAAAACACATGGAAGCATATTGCATTAACATGAGAAAATACAAATCTGCTCTGTTTTAAAAGTCAGGTGAATGCAGATACTGTAGCTACTTGGATTTGTTTTTTCAGTTTCATTTATCTAAATGTAAACTTGCTCCACTTCTTAGAGCAGGGATGTCAAACAAACGAACTGCGGGCCGTATCCGTATAAATTCAATATTTGTAATACTTATTTTCCCCGAATTTGATTAAAAACCTTTGTATAATGAGCAACGTAAAGGTTGATGTCATGATACGAAAATGAATTAAACGGGGCACTTTGAACTATCTTCTCAGCAGGGAGTATCATCAAAAAGACGAGTGGCCGAGCGCACGAGCTGCTCCTGCATTACGCTGGTAATACATCACATCAGCAAACAGGCTGAACACCTGAGAGAGGTGACACAGAATGCAGGTTTTCAAGAGAGATCGAAGGAGCGATATTTCTTTAGTTTTATTTGCTCACAAGTTGCCAGAATCGTATCAAAGCTACGGGACTTAACCGCTGCACTGCGCGCGCATCATGACGGTCTTCAGTTCTGTGCACACTTCTTACCAGCTTCTCCTGTCTTGACTGATGTAAAACAAAATGTTGACTAATAATAACAAAGCTTCCTATGGAGTGAGCTACAAAGAGCAGCTCGTGTAAATAAAAAGCAATCCTCCATGCTAACGGCCCAGACCGTCTCCTCACATCCAGACTAAGTGTAGGTTGTGGACACCGGCGTTGAGACTGATGCATCTCCCGACTTATTTTACCTCTGGTTATTAAACAGTAAATTAAAATGAATATTAACTGATTTTAATTACAGATGGTTCATTTTTAGGTCACCCAGATGTGAAAGTGTTGTGTTGATCATCTAAAAGTTTCATCACTTCTAAATGCAGTAGCCTGCTGTTGCGCCTTTATCACCAGCTCTCATCAGACTGTAAAAATATAACTATTACTGAACATTTCATTCTTATCCAAATACGATATCACGCACAGGCTGCCCGATCATACAGAGGTCCGCTGGTTTAACCGAGGAGCAGCGCTAAAATGCTTCCTCGAATTACGCACGGAGATGGCACAGATTCATGACGCATAAAAAGTCAGTGACAGAGTTAGATCACGATAGTACGGACACGGAGAAGAACGGACAGCCAGACTGATATCAAAAGTCTTTTAACTGAGTTTACTTAGTTGAAGAACGTGCACTCCACACGGAGCTGATCAGACTGCAGTGCGCAACGCTGAAGGATCAATTCAAGTCTGTTGGTTTGGAAACATGTTATCATTTTAGAATGCCTCACACTAAAATACCTGAAGATGACTGTTTGCATCAAAGACACTCTGTGTGTTTGTGATAACTTATTCATGTGAGCAGGTTTTATCTGTAATGAACCTTAAGGAGTGCAAACTGTGCTGTGGCCTGACACACACAGATCTAAAGTCTCTCTCTGTCTCTCTCTCTGTCTCTCTCTCTCTGTCTCTCTCTCTCTCTCTCTCTCTCTCTGTCTCTGTCTCTCTCTCTCTCTCTCTCTGTCTCTCTCTCTCTCTGTCTCTGTCTCTCTCTGTCTCTCTCTGTCTCTCTCTCTGTCTCTCTCTGTCTCTCTCTCTGTCTCTCTCTGCTCTCTCTCTCTGTCTCTCTCTCTCTCTCTCTCTCTCTCTCTCTCTCTCTCTCTCTCTCTCTCTCTCTCTCTGTCTCTCTCTCTGTCTTTCTCTAGTAATGCACTGATACCAGGGCAGGTAGAATAACCTGTGTCAAAGTTTCTATAACCTTGAACAGCAATATTAAAACATAATATAATAATCTCAAACAAAACATAATTGTTGATGTTTTCTTCTGTAATGTGGTACATTTAAATATTTCCATGTGCCAACATGCAGTTTGCAATGACAGAGTTAACCCCTCTGCTTAATCACTCTTACATTTTATGCGTTAACATATAGTTTTCTATACAAGTACCTTTTTTTTCTAATCATACATTAGCCTATAAATCCATGTGTCAAGTTATAGTGATGTCAGCAAAATTAGTCTGATACCAATAGGACTTTGACACCCCTGTCTTAGAGCAATGTTGTTGTTTGACTTAGTTACCGGTATGCACCTCCAAATGTAGTTATGTTCATTTTTTGGTTTATTCTGAATTATTTAAAGTTCCTGTGATGATTTTTTTTTTTTAAACCTTCCTGGGTGGCGATTTTCAGTTATCAGTTATCAGTTTTCAGTTATCAGTTTTCAGTTAGTTACACTTGCACTTTGTTACAGTTGGCCTATTACGTCACATACCCAATAATTGAAAACATCCATGTACTTCAATGTGTTTCAGTATAAAGTAACAAAATAGTACCAATTAAAACGTTTTCTTAGAAACAATCTTCAGTTAGGCATCAAGTAAGGTCTTTTACCTGTTTTTGTAAAGTGTGTCGAGATAACACTTGTTATGAGTTGAGGTTATACAAATTAAATTGATTGATTGATTGATTGATTGATTGATTGATTGATTAGGCTAAATGTACATGTTGTGTGCCTGCAGGTAAACTAACCCTACCTTAAGTCAACCTTTTGTCCTCAAGTGACTTCAGCACATTTCATAAGACCATGTAACCTTGGCACACCTGATTGTGAGAATTTGACCATCAGTATGAACATTGTAATTATGTTCCTGTCAAACCTCAAGTACCAAAAACTTGTTTTGTTGTAAACTCCCTGTTTGGTAACAGATAATTATCACATTCTCAATTGACTAGATTAGTTTGATGTTGAAATCTAGACATGATGACAAACTATAAATATTCAGAGGTTTTTATGACTGAGTGTCTTCAAGAAGAATTCATATGATAAACTTAACACAGAGTCTGTTTCCCCTTTTTGTTGTTTTATCCAGTACCAGAGGACTCACCATGTGGCTAAAAGGTTTTATAAGTAACCATGTCAACATGAAACTTCTGAAGACCTGTGTCATCCTTCTCCTTCTGACTGTGTTGTTCTTTACACTAAGAAACATGGACCTGCTGCAGGTGAGAACTGGGATTATTGGTAACACTTTAAAGGTGGTCATTGAGTGTCTTTCAATGTACTAAAGTGGGGAATGGGCCCCCCTGGGGGCTCCTGAGACACTGAAAGGGGGTTCGCGAGATGCTTTCCATAAACAAATAAAAGTTTTAGGATTTGCAAAATGCATATTTTTTACCCATTATTAAAATTATTTAAAAAGTCCATTAAATGTAAGTTTGCACAGAAGTGCAACAATGAAGGTGTTCATCTGCTCCCTACACAACCCAGTCTCATGTCAAAATGTGTAATACCTACGTTGGTCCACAGCGCAAAACGTAGTAGTTTCACAATAAGGGCTCTAAAATTGTGACTTGTCTACGTTTCCTTTAGTCTATTCTTTTGTATAGGCACACCTCAGGTCATGTGACTGCCCAGTTTTGCCCTGGCGAAAAAAAAAACCATGGTTTTTTTCGGTGGAAAATGCAATATTTTAAGATAGTTTGAGGCTTAAGTGTCGTTTTGATAACCTTCCTGGTGACAAATGTACTTTGTATCTTCATAATCTTTGTTCGGTTTATGTTTATGATCTTTAGTTTGTTCGTTTCTACGAAGATTCTTTCAGGTCTCGATAGAGAAACGTTGTGATGTTATGTTTTCTACTGTTGCTATGGTGATAGCTATGGACGCTATCAACAACGAACCAGAAGGAAGTGGACGTTCGGCTCGCGGCTCTTAAAACGGGTTACATCAGACCCTAGACATCAAACTAAGCTCCTATACAATAAATAATGATTTCTGTTACATTTTTATGGATGTCTTTCATTCCAACCAAATTTAATAAAACGATTGGAACAGATCGATGCATATTAGCAACATTATAAACTATAACATGTAACAATACATAAAGACAATACTGTACAGTCTGTGTGATTTATATGATTAAACAATTTTATTTAACAAAATAATCCTAATGGATTAGATTAATACCAGAAAATGCAATCAATAAAGTAAACGACCGGCGATAAGAACTACAAACGGGCGCATGACACTGACATCAGATAATGACGTATTGATAATCGTCACTTGTGAGCGACCTCTTTATTAGATCTTTCAGGGGGGTATTTACTGATATTTTTTAAGGGTGGTTGCAAAAACACATCTTAAATCTGTGTTAACCAAAGATCCCATTCCAGGAATCTAAGCAAAAACCCATTCAAAAAGCCCATTATGCTATGGTCTGCCAGTGTGCTGCTGACATGCGCAATCGTGCAGTCACGCCCACTGTCAGTTTAAAGGCCGAGGGCGTCCCCCGCCCCCCCTCTCCCTCCTCTCCGTAGACTCACATTTTAAATCCCTTTTTCATACACTTATGTTTGATCTAGAACCCACAAGTCACTTAAGGCCCCACACTCAATTTGCCAAACCTTTTAACAATTGAAACACTTTTATCAAAACATCAAAAAAGGGTGTTAAAAAGTGTGAAAATGTTCCAAAAGACAGAGGGTCATTCTCCACTATATGCTGCATGCTTTGTGAACAAGACTGATGTTAAAAACTCATCTTAAAGGTGCTTAAAAGAGCTAATTTGACCATTTGAGGCCTAGCAGAGACATGAAGCCTTTTGACCTGTTCAACCCTGTTGCTCTATGAAAGACATTAAACTGAATATTAAAACAATGAATGATGACAAATTAGATTAACTCTTCTATAAGGAAAGAAGGATAAAAAAAAAGTACTAGGATGAATTAACATGGACAAGAGCATAAGAGATTTTTACTTTTAGCCATAATTCTAAACCAGGCACTTCAGGCTGTCCTCCAAGCCTATAGTTCCCCAGATTTTATGATATACTTACACCAAAACAAACAAACACACGAAGAAACAAACAAAATAAAAAAGAATTATGAAAGAGTTCTATGAAAGTATGACTGTAAGACCCCTTGCCTATGAAATGAGAAAGTTTTTGGCTTAGAGCTGAATGACATACATCGTTGGAAAGGTCTCATCCTGGAGAGTAACATATGAGAAGATGAGGTTTCTACATGACCCCTGTTTTGAAATAATGACCTTTGAACCTCGAACCAAGGGCATGTTTGAAGGCTTATACCAACAACAAAAGGGGCTACAGACATGGGAATAACTGTTTTAGAGAGGTCTTGGAACAAAGTACCATGTGAGGGTAGTCAGCTCACCAAAACAACAGGGGGAGCTGCTATATATGATTATGATACATTTTAACAAATGTATCAATTATTTTTTAAATATCTGATAACATAAATGTGTTAACCATTCAATTAAACTCCCCTGTGTACCCTCAATTAAATATTTATAACTTCTTATGTAAGGGAAACACTGAGATTTGTATAAAAGACTACAATTCCTTAGAGTCAAGTCAAGCTTGATACTGAACGGCGCCATAATTGTAGTCTTTTCCGTTTCCAAAAAAAGGTTGTAACTAGGATTATAAAAGGGTTACAAAAGATATATTCATTGAATATGTCACGGATCACGTGTGACCAAAGTATTTATTGCATAGTACATATATGATCTATGTTAAAATAAAGTACATATATCAGTTCATTTCGGATATTTTGACTGTTATTCCAGAAATGGGAATTTTGGTATTTATGTCTGGCGTTGTGCACAGAGGGAACATAATTAGGGTTGTAAAAAATGTATATCTACCCACTATATCAAATATTTACTAAAGCCGAATGGGTTTTGTAAAATAATCTAGACTATATATATTGTAAAAAAGTGGTCAAATCAAACCTGTTTTAAAAGATAGTATTAATCTGTCAGGATTATTTTGTTAAATAAAATTATTAAATCATATAAATCACACAAACTGTACAGTATTGTCTTCATGTATTGTTACATGTTATAGTTTATAATGTTGCTAATATGCATCGATCTGTTCCAATCGTTTTATTAAATTTGGTTGTAATGAAAGACATCCATAAAAATGTAACAGAAATCATTATTTATTGTATAGGAGCTTAGTTTGATGTCTAGGGTCTGATGTAACCCGTTTTAAGAGCCGCGAACGGAACGTCCACTTCCTTCTGGTTCGTTGTTGATAGCGTCCATAGCCATAGAAACAGTAGAAAACATAACATCACAATGTTTCTCTATCGAGACCTGAAAGAATCTTCGTAGAAACGAACAAACTAAAGCTCATAAACATAAACCGAACAAATATTATGAAGATACAAAGTACATTTGTCACCAGGAAGGTTATCAAAACGACACTTAAGCCTCAAACTATCTTAAAATATTGCATTTTCAACCGAAAATAGAAGGGATGTCCGCCATGGTTTTTTTTTTCGCCGGGGAAAACTGGGCAGTCACGTGACCTGAAGTGTGCCTATACAAAAGAATAGACAAAAGGAAACGTAGACAAGTCACAATTTTAGAGCCCTTATTGTGAAACTACTACGTTTTGCGCTGTGGACCAACGTAGGTATTACACATTTTGACATGAGACTGGGTTGCTTTGTCACCATCCTTCTTTTTCAACTCCTTGCCAGCTAAATTATAAAGAAAACTCTGCCATCATCAACAAGAAAGTGAACTCTACTCAGCCCACTGCTCCTCCCACTGCTCCCCACACTGCTCCCCACACTGCTCCTCCCACTGCTTCTCCAGTGCCTGACAACTTCTGCACCTTCAAGCCACTGTCTTCTGCAGAAGCTGAGGAGGAACGTCTCATATTGGAGTCCATTGCTTGGCCTGAAACTCCTCCTCTGCCAGCTCCTTTTTCATTGATTCAGACAAGTCACGCCGCCCACAGCACCTTCATCATTCTCCCAGGGGGGGTTGGAGACGAGCGGCATGTAGGAGACCAGCTGGAAGTTATGATAAAAATGTACGACTTCCAAGGTAACCCCAAGAAGTCTGGAGGAGATGCAATTGTTGCCCGTTTGCACAACAGGGCACTTGAAGCAGGTGTGGCTGGACGAGTGGTGGATCACCTTAATGGCTCCTACTCTGCTGTATTCCCTTTACTCTGGGAAGGAAGTGCACAGGTTGAGGTAAAGTTCAAGGCTATATCTTTAAATTGTTAATGTACAATAATTGATGCCAAAAGAATTCCCTAATGCAATGTCCTGTAGGTCATTTAATTCATGAAATCTAAACCTTTCCCCCTGACTTACTTTTGCAAACAAACAACAACATAAAAAGTAAGAAAAAAGAAAAGACATTGTGGAAGTCTTAAAAACTGCTGTTCCTCCAATTGCCTCTTCTGGCGGTCTCTAATGAGTCATTCACCTTTGATCCCGTTGTCAAAATATCCAACTTTACAACACAAATAAACATGTTTTTTTAAATGTTTTATTTAACCAGATAAATAACTCATTGAGATCAGGATCTCTTTCACAAGGGTGACTTGGCCAAGAGGGCAGCAGCACACGTCATAAAAAGCATTACATGATAAAGAGACAGTTTACAATCAATAAGTTAGGAGAGAACAACAATTTACAAATTGCAAATTGATTTACAGATAAAGTGCAGAATCTTGATCACAGAGTACAATTCAGAAACACAGATACTGTCCAATTGTCTCGTGTTTTTTATCTTTTAAGATCGAGCCAAAGGCTTCAAGAGCTCCGCCATTTTCAAGTCATTTTGGAGAAAGTTCCATGCGGTGGGAGCAGCAAAACTAAACGGTCTTTTCCCGAGCTCAGTGCGGACACGAGGCACAGACAGTTTAAAGACATCACAGGAACACAAGGCATAGTGGCTTCTGGTTCTTTGAAGGTATGAACATAGATAAGAAGGCACCAAACCAAGAAGAGCTTTATAAATAAGCTTCAGCCAGTGTATATGCCTGCGCACCTTCAAAGATGGCCAATCTGAGTTAGTGTACAGGTCACAGTGATGAGTGAAGCGTCTACAAGCAGTCTTACAAAATGTTATTTTCTTCTGCTATTCTGGAAAACTTAACATTGAGGAAATGTATTTACCACAACGGTTAAACGTTATTAAGCCAGTAGCTTTTACCTGAAAAATAAAATATAGACTTTAAACAAAAGTAATGCTACTCAATCATCACTTGAGTGGGCCTCCATACATCTGTAGTGGTGACTGTGTCTCCAGACAGCCTGTCCTTTGCCTGCATTTTAATGTTTTGGTTTTCTGGGTGTGGAGTGGATGTGCTTCCCCCTGCCAATGTCAGTGTGCAGGTGTGTTTAGGAGTGGATACAGTTCAGTTATTGGTTGTGATTCAGCCCCCCGCTAATAAGATTGATGTGGAAGTAGCAGCAATAACTTAAAATATAATCATAGTGAGGTGAGACGAAACGCTACACGGATAAACCTTGTTCAAAAACGAGGGTTGTCTCTCACTCTCTTACAGAATTGGCCTGCATTCTGTTGGACATGCAGATGTCATACATCGGTGGTTAGCTTGTGCTAGCATGCGGTATTGCAGTGTACAAACAGGAAACTTACACACTACTCACCTGCAGTGAGTGTGTGCTTCTGGGGACGGTGAGCGCAGGAGGAGGGGCCCAATTTGGATGTTGTGTTCACAAGCTGCAACAAACAATGCCACTGACTCTACCTTTACATAAGACATCAGTAGAACACTTTAATTAACCTTTTTGTTGAGTTGAATTACTGAACTAAAGAGGTTGTTGTTGTTGGATCCTTTTGGAGATATTTTCATGCAAATGTTTGTCATTTGATGTGACTGTATGTAAAATGTTTCCTGTGGGCCAGAGAATGGTGTGAGGATTGTTGAATGCTTTACTCCACAGACAAGTGGAGTTCTATAATTGTAAGAAAACAAATTCTATGTAGGTTCCGTAGCCTATTGGGTATGATGTGCACCCAATTTACATCGGGTAAAGTCCCCTTTGCTGCGGGGTTCAAATCTGACCTTCGCCCTTTGCTTAATGTCATCCCCAACTCTCTTCTCCCAACATTTCCTGTTGTTGTCAGCTGTCCAATCCAATTAAGATGAGACAGGTCCAAAAATATACATGTTGATGTAAACAAGTTCTACTGGCCAGCTAGTGGGGAGTTGACCATTTGCATCAATGTCTCTTAAGCTTCTAATTTAAAATACATGAACAACTTCAGTCAGCTGACACCAAAAATACAACTTTGTTTTCTAATTATTCAATTAATAATTAGTAGGCATGACTTGTTTGCTATAACTTTAAACTCTTGTTCTTTGTTTTATCAGGTGACGCTTGTCCACTCAAGCGAGGCTATCACAGTCCTCCGTAGACTAAACAGAGAACATCCTGATAGGACTATCTTAAAGAGCCTCTTCCGCTCAGGTTCAATCTCTGAAACTACCATCTGTAATATTTGTCTACGTCAAACCAACCAGCCACAGTGCAACTACACTGACCTCCATACTGGTGACCCGTGGTTCTGCTACAAGCCAAAGAAACTGAGCTGTGATGACAGGATGAACCACATAAACGGAGGAATGGATATAAAACTCAAGGCTAATGAGGCGAACCTTTTCAAAAGGTGAGGGAGCACAGCAATAGAAACGATGCATCTAGTTTTACATGTAATGACTATAAACAAAGTGTAAAGTATGTATCTCCTGGGGGGAAATGTCGTGTTTGTAACTACAGGAGGCAAAGATGAAATCTTAAGATGTTTATAGTGTAAGATGATACCTATCAAAACACAATTAAAGTCTCTCTCATCAAAAAAACTATAAAGTGTATCCATGGAGTCCAAATATGTAGGCAAAGTAATTTATGGTGACTCAATCACATTTGACATTTACATATTGAAGTGTGTTTAAGAGATTCTTAATCATGGGAGCTTTTTCCCCCCAGCAATGTCAACATGCAAGTCTTCATTCAGGCTTCAGGACCGGCCAATGTTACTGTGCTGCCTCAAAGGAAAGGTAAAGCACAACTTTTCTACTTTCAACTAAAAAAAAATCTCCATGTGACCTTGAAAATAAAAATGTATACAACCTAACTCTCTGTATTCAAGCAGATATACATATAAGGCAAAAAATAAATAAAAATAAACCAGCTTCTATCTATAAAACTGAGGAAGAGCTGTAAGTGCTTATCTCATTTACGCTAAAAAAATAAAAAATAAAAAAACAGTACCAGTGTACTAATAAAAAACTCAAATCACTTAACATGTGTAAATAATTAACTTTAAATAATTAGCATTGTCAAATAAAAAGCATTTGGTAGCATTTTCCTTAACCACAATAAACATGTGCATTCGAGACATACACTCACTATATTGTAGTAAAGCATAAACTTAATCTTTTGAAAAACATCAAAGAACTCTGTAGAAGCCATTTTAATCATGGTCCATTTAATTTAAGAATTTTGATTTCAGTTCATGTTAGTAAAACACAACATTTAGATCATAAGAAATAAGAATATCATTTACAGTAAATATTTCAGAATCAAGTAACAGATTGGCTCCTACTAAGTGATAAAAACTGTTTATGAAAGTTGCCACTACAAATGTTTTTGTGACATATGTATAATGTCCTCATCAGTGTAAAGTAAAATGAGTAAGGTAAAGCAGAGACCTTGTTTTGGTCTTTTTAGGGGATCTGTTGACAAATGATACAACAATCGTTTAATAACCAAATGCTTATTTTGATCAACAATTCTCAGAGCAACCCATGGATAGTCTAGGCAGTGGGAAGTCTGGACTCTCTGGGTATTACTACCAGGGTGTGTGGCGATCACTAGGTGGCACCAAAGTCCACCAATTCAACAACTCCTCTGCCATCAGTCAGTGTCTGAAAGGAAAGGTGGTCCACATGTATGGAGACTCCACCGTCAGGCAGTGGTTTGAGTACCTTGATGCTTCACTTCCAGGTAGTTGATTCAGTGATTTCAGGCAACAGTTTAATTGTATTTATTTCACAGCTTAATCTGCTCCTTTTTTCATACTTTCAGATGCTAAAGAGATAAACCGGAATAATCTGAAGAAATCAGGACCTTTCATGATATGGGACAATGCAAAAAACATCTTGGTGAAGTTCCACTTACACGGTCCTCCTCTGAGTATTTCCGTCCTTATCCCAACCAGTGAGCTGCGTTACATTGCCAATGAAATAGATGATGTAGTTGGTGGCACCAACACAGTTGTAATTTTTGGCATCTGGGCCCACCTCACTCCTTTCCCAATGCAATTCTACATCAGAAGGCTTTACGGCATCCGCAGGGCGGTGATTCGTCTGTTAAACAGGGCTCCAGACACGCTGGTGGTCATCAGGACTCCAAACCTCAGAGGTACAAACCCCAATATATTTGCCTTTAATGACTGGTATGCTATTCAACAGGACAAGGTGGTCAGAGCTGTGTTCAAAGGACTTAATGTTCAGCTGGTGGATGCCTGGGAGATGGTTCTGGCCCACCACCTGCCTCACTACATTCACCCACCTCCTCCCATCATTAGGAATATGGTTAACATTATATTGTCCCACATGTGCCCCCAATAGTGCATTTAATAATAATAATAACTTTATTTATATAGCACTTATCTAAACAAGGTTACAAAGTGAGTTTAGGTGCTCTGATGGCAAATGCCCGGTCGCCCTTGGTAACCAGCCTTGATCTAGGATCATCTACTCTTGATGATCTAAGATTTGGCTTGGAGCATAAGGGGTTAAAAGTTCTTTAATGTAAGGGGGGGGAGGCTAGACTGTGTTGTGTTTTAAAAGTTTTTAAAATAATTTTTAAATCAACCCTGTAAGTAACGGGCAGCAAATGGAGGGAGGAAAGGATTGGGGTAATGTTGGACCTGCAGTTTGCATTTGTTAAAATCCGAGCAGCTATGGAAAGCCGATTGAAGATTTAATAGATATCCTTGATATCAAAGCTCAGTTTCCTGTACTAGTCAAGTCTTTGGCCGCACTAGTTTACTAGTAGAACGTTGAAAGACTTACTAGTAAACTAGTAGAAGGCAAAAAGTCCTACATGTTAACTAGTAAGGTGCAAAATATCTACTAGTTAACTAGTAAGATATATTTTGTGTCTACTAGTTAACTAGTGAGCCTAAAAATGTTTACTAGTTAACTAGTAAGAGCAACAATGTCCACTAGTAAGCTAGTTTGACTCTTTTTAACCTTACTTGTAAACTAGTGAGGTTCAAAATGTTTACTAGTTAACTAGTAAGACCCAAATGTCCACTAGTATCACTAGTGATGCAGTTACAAATTTTACTAGTTTACTAGTGAGGCTCTTAAAGTCCACTAGTTAACTAGTTAGTGCAAAAAGCCAACTAGTAACACTAGTTCAGGACATTTTAGTGCTACTAGTGAACTAGTGAGGCTCAAAATGGTTAACTAGTTATCTAGTAAGAGCCAAAATGTCACTAGTTACACTAGTAGTACTCTTTTTGGCATAACTAGTTAACTACTACGGTTTTAAATGTTAACTAGTACTACTAGTGAAAGCCAAAATGCGTACTAGAAACACTGGTTGAAGTACATGCTAATGAGTGGGTGGGATCAGGGCACTCTCTGAACCTTATCATTGGTTCTCCATATAGACCTCCACCTTCCACAAATTTAACCCTTTGTAAGAAGGAGCAAGTGCTGTGAAGCAACGGCTTCTTCCCTACTTTCCATGGAGAGTAAAACATGAAAATTATATATATATTAAATGTTAGAATTGTTTATAAACTTAAAATAAGATAGAAGATCATTTTAGAACTGTTCTCATGATTTTCTTTTTCCTTTTTTATCCCATCAAGACAGTATTTACAGAAAACATAAGAAAGAGTACATCTTGAGGTCAGTAGAGTGATAAAAAACTGCCCAAGGTGCAATTGTAAGTTAAAAATGAATGTGTAAATATTTCATATAAATTCATGCTGTTTTTAAAAAGGAAAAAAGTTAATCAGATAAAATTATGGACTTTAAAACAACTGGAACTTGATACAGAATTTATGTTCTTGTACTTAATACGTTTTAATTTGGCCTAAAGTCGGTAAACTAAGAAAAATAAAGGGATTCAAGATTAGGGCCACGTAAAAGGAAAAAAACCTAAAATTTAGAGATTCAAATAGTTAATTTATGAGAATAAAGTAAAATGTACGAGATTAATTTCTTGTTTAAGTCTATATCAGAAGAGCAGCAGCCGCCTGTTCGAAAATGATAAACGTGGATGCATCTTGTTATAGTAAAGGTTTAACAAATAAGGAAATAGGCTCCTTCCTTGTGTAGTCTGTAAAAACAGTTGGAAAATATATCGATAAGTTGTTTTATCGGCACATCATCATCACAAATAAAATATCAGGACCCTGAAAAGATACTGGAAGCAACTGTAACTTTTGTGGCAGAGGAAAATGCTTTAGGGGTTCTCCTTTCATCATTTATGCGCAGGCGGAAGGCTTCTCTATGATAGGCTACAACCTAAAAATGTACATTTTCGTAAATTTATGACTTTATTCTCCTAAATTTACATGTTTATTCTCGTACATATACAAGATTAATCTCAAATTTTTTCTTTTTTTTTCTTTAAGATGGCTCTACTCCATCGTATAAAAATGTAATTTTATTATGTAAAATGAAGGTTAAAAATTGTACTACTTGCAAATGCCCCACAGATGGGGCTATACGTATATATACTGCTAATGTCTACAGTACTAGTACTACTAGTTGACATTTAGGCCTTTACTAGTGCTACTAGTTGCACTAGTAGCACTAGTCGCACTAGTCGCACTAGTCGCACTAGTCGCACTAGTCGCACTAGTCGCACTAGTCACACTAGTCGTACTAGTAAGAGCCTAAATGTCCACTAGTAGTACTAGTGCTACTAGTACAACTAGTGCTACTAGTAAGAGCCTAAATGTCCACTAGTAGTACTAGTACTGTACACATTAGCAGCATATATAAGTATAGCACCATCTGGTGGGCATTTGCAAGTAGTATCTTAATTTTATGCTTTAATCATAAAAACATGACTCCTCATATGATAAAATATGTCATAAAATATGTATGTTGCTTGTGCACTTATATCTGCTCACTGCCATATGTATCTTTTCTGCTGGGCTTACTCGAAGCTAAACCAAGAAAATTTAGCAAGTCCATAACATACCGATCCTGCAACTGACACCTAATGGCCGAAATGCATATCTCTCTGCAGCTACTTATTGTATAAGGGTTATTTCTCCAGATGTAAGAGGCTGACTTTATATTTATAAAAAAAACATTAAAACATTTATTTCAAGTTTCAGGCTTGTTACTTTTTTCCTGTTATATTTTCTTATTCACATTAGTTTAATAATTCAGTATACACTTGTCCTAAATCCTAATATTTTATTCAATATTTTGCATGATCATCTAGCAGATAAACTAAATATAAACACATTTCTTTCATGATTTAAAAAAAATATATTTAATTTTTCACTTTGCAAGTTTCAAACTAGTATATCTTTCATATTTTATATTGCCATATTTTCAATGGCAAGAAAAAAGCTAAAATCCTTGAACATTAATGTTGTGCAAGATTTTATTTTATTCAATCATACTACTATATATAAATATTAAGTGATGGGTTATTGTTTATTTTTTGACAAATACTGCAATAATGAATAATCATTAGTGATTTTTAGAACAAATAATACTAAGTTTAAAAACAAAAAAGTTGAAAAGATGAATAACAATGTAACATCAGATTTGGATTTAATCTGTGCATGGGTCATAAAATTCTATCAAAGGGCATTCAGTGAGTTACCATTTAGTGATAATATAACATGACACAAATGAACAAACCTTCAGAAATTAGTGCTGGTTTAACCGAAGGTACTATTCAGATCTGGCCCTTTAAGGCTGGCAAAATCGCAGGTTTGACATTGACCAATCAAAATCCTTGTCCCGCCTGCTTCATTATCATGCGGTCAACTAGTGCTACTAGTACTACTAGTGGACTGCCAGTTGACCTTTACAAGTAAACTAGTAAGGACCAAATGTCCACTAGTTACACTTGTAAAACACATTTCGACTTTACTAGTAAACTAATGATGTTCAAAAAGCTTAACTAGTTTATTACTAAGGGCATAAATGTCACTAGTACCACTAGTTGCAGTCTAATTGACCTTACTAGTTAACAAGTAGGGCTCAAGATGTTTACTAGTAGTACTAGTGAAAGAAAAATGCACACTAGTATCACTACTTTGGTCTTCAAGGCCTTACTAGTAAACTAGTGAGGCTTTAAATGCATACTAGTTAACTAGAACGAGTCAAAATGTCCACTAGTTTACCAGTTAGACCATATGTGACCTTGCTAGTTAACTAGTGAGGCCAAACACAGTTAACTAGTTAATAAGTAATTGCAAAATGTCCACTAGTTGTACTAGTAAGGGTCTTTTTGGCAGTACTAGTTAACTAGTTAGATAAATTGTCAGTCACAAGTTAACTAGTAGTCAACAGATCAGACTACTAGTTGACATCTGTGTTCAACTAGTTAACTAGTAAAGGGTTTTAACTGTTCAGCATGTAAACTTGTCAAATTATATCATTCAACTAGTTTACTAGTCAAAAGCAAATGTCCACTAGTATGCTGTTTTGTCTGCAACTAGTTTACTAGTGCCACACAAAGTCTTCAACTAGTTTACTAGTGAGGCCAAAAAGACACTAGCTAGTTTAACTAGTGGACAAAAAGGCACTTACTAGTTTACTCGTAAACTATATAGGGTTAAAACCGCCCTCAGTAGTGTGACTAGTTGACATTTTAGCTACTACATGTTAACTAGTAAACGTTTCCGAGCCTCACTAGTTAACTAGTAGGTTTAAAAATATTCCAACTAGTGTTACTAGTTGACACATTTTATCTTACTAGTGACCTAGAAAGGTAAAATGCATCTTCACTAGTGTTACTAGTTACCATTATGAGATTAACTAGTTAACTAGTTAGCATTTGTGTCTAACTAGTTAACTAGTAAAATGAAAACAGATATCGACTAGTAAGATAGTTCTAATCCTGCAATCCAACTAGTTGACTAGTGTGCAATATGTAAATGCAGTGGGTGGGATTATAACCAAATCCTGGGTCCTGATTTGATGTTATTTTTGTTCTTGATTTTTAGAGCCTATCATAAGCCTCAATCCACACTTATCCCCCACCTCCGCGTTACCATTTTCTGCAACAAATGTTACTAGTGACATTTTAGATCTAGCTAGTTTACTAGTAAAATATTTAAGTCTCACTAGTTAACTAGTACGACTTGTAAAGATGATACTAGTGCAACTAGTGGACATTTGTTCTCTTACTAGTTAACTAGTGAACATTTAGAGCCGCACTAGTTAACTAGTAAGACTAATAAAGCCATCTCTAGTACAACTAGTGGACCTTTCTGCTCTTACTAGTTAACTTGTAAAAACTTTTTATCCTAACTAGTTAGCTAGTATGGTCCATATATATGCCTTTCTAGCTTACTAGTGGACATTGTTGCTCTTACTAGTTAACTAGTAAACATTTTTAGGCTCACTAGTTAACTAGTAGACACAAAATATATCTTACGAGTTAACTAGTAGATATTTTGCACCTTACTAGTTAACATGTAGGACTTTTTGCCTTCTACTAGTTTACTAGTAAGTCTTTCAACGTTCTACTAGTAAACTAGTGCGGCCAAAGACTTGACTAGTACAGGAAACTGAGCTTTGATATCAAGGATATCTATTAAATCTTCAATCGGCTTTCCATATACTAGTTGACATCTGTGTTCAACTAGTTAACTAGTAAAGGGTTTTAACTGTTCAGCATGTAAACTTGTCAAATTATATCATTCAACTAGTTTACTAGTCAAAAGCAAATGTCCACTAGTATACTGTTTTGTCTGCAACTAGTTTACTAGTGCCACACAAAGTCTTCAACTAGTTTACTAGTGAGGCCAAAAAGACACTAGCTAGTTTAACTAGTGGACAAAAAGGCACTTACTAGTTTACTCGTAAACTATATAGGGTTAAAACCGCCCTCAGTAGTGTGACTAGTTGACATTTTAGCTACTACATGTTAACTAGTAAACGTTTCCGAGCCTCACTAGTTAACTAGTAGGTTTAAAAATATTCCAACTAGTGTTACTAGTTGACACATTTTATCTTACTAGTGACCTAGAAAGGTAAAATGCATCTTCACTAGTGTTACTAGTTACCATTATGAGATTAACTAGTTAACTAGTTAGCATTTGTGTCTAACTAGTTAACTAGTAAAATGAAAACAGATATCGACTAGTAAGATAGTTCTAATCCTGCAATCCAACTAGTTGACTAGTGTGCAATATGTAAATGCAGTGGGTGGGATTATAACCAAATCCTGGGTCCTGATTTGATGTTATTTTTGTTCTTGATTTTTAGAGCCTATCATAAGCCTCAATCCACACTTATCCCCCACCTCCTCGTTACCATTTTCTGCAACAAATGTTACTAGTGACATTTTAGATCTAGCTAGTTTACTAGTAAAATATTTAAGTCTCACTAGTTAACTAGTACGACTTGTAAAGATGATACTAGTGCAACTAGTGGACATTTGTTCTCTTACTAGTTAACTAGTGAACATTTAGAGCCGCACTAGTTAACTAGTAAGACTAATAAAGCCATCTCTAGTACAACTAGTGGACCTTTCTGCTCTTACTAGTTAACTTGTAAAAACTTTTTATCCTAACTAGTTAGCTAGTATGGTCCATATATATGCCTTTCTAGCTTACTAGTGGACATTGTTGCTCTTACTAGTTAACTAGTAAACATTTTTAGGCTCACTAGTTAACTAGTAGACACAAAATATATCTTACTAGTTAACTAGTAGATATTTTGCACCTTACTAGTTAACATGTAGGACTTTTTGCCTTCTACTAGTTTACTAGTAAGTCTTTCAACGTTCTACTAGTAAACTAGTGCGGCCAAAGACTTGACTAGTACAGGAAACTGAGCTTTGATATCAAGGATATCTATTAAATCTTCAATCGGCTTTCCATAAGCAGCAGCATTCTGCACTTGCTGGAGTCTGGCCATTGAGGACTGACTCAGGCAAGTGAAACGTGAGTTGCAGTAGCCCAAACGTGAAAAGACAAAGGCATGAATAAGCTTCTCTAGATCAGGGAAAGACAGAGTTGATTTAATTTACTAATGTTTCTTAGCTGGTAGTAACAGGATTTAATGAGATTATTGATGTGCGGAATGAAGTTAAGCTGTGAATCAAATGTAATACCTACATTTCTACCTGTAGATTTTATATTGGGTGTTAGAGGACCAAAGAGCAGCTTGAATTTGCTTGCTATATGATCGGGGCCAAAGAAAATGACCTCTGTCTTCCCTGTATTAAGCTGCAGACAATGACAGCTCATCCATTTCTCAATGGTGGCCATGCACTCCACTAAATTGTTTAAGCGGCTGATATTGTCTGACTTGAAGGACAGATATATTTGTGCATTATCAGCATAACAGTGATAGGAGACCCCCTCAAAGTAATTCATAATATTTCCAAGTGGGAGCATATGAAGGGAAAACAAGACTGGACCAAGAATTGAGTCCTGTGGCAGACCGTACGTCATGCGGGCCGAGGAAGAAACAAATGACCAATTGAGACAGAGAATCCTCTATTTGACAGGTATGACCCAAACCATTTGAGTGCAGTTCCGGTGATGCCTACACACTGATCAAGTCTATTGGCTAGAATTCTATGATCAATAGTATCAAATGCTGTGCTTAGGTCCAACAGCAATATAACCAAACATTCCCCATTATCAGCGCTCATCAGCAAATCGTTTGTAGCCCTAATAAGAGCAGTTTCGGTACTGTGTCGTTTGAGGAACCCTGATTGAAACTTGTCGCAGATGTCATTATTGTTTAAAACAGATGTCAGCTGGCTAAAAAGACACCTTTTCAACCATTTCAAGAACCTTAGATATGAACGAGAGTTTGGAAATGGGTCTATAATTCTCTGGAAGTGATAGATCAGGGTTAGGCTTTTTGAGTAAGGGCTGGATGCTTCCTTGTTTAAAATGATTGGGAACGGTTAATGATGTAAAGTAAGCTGGGGCCAATTGTACCAATAACCTCTTTCAGGAGTGAGGTGGGTAAGATATCAATAGGGCTTGAGGTGGTACGCATGTGAGACACAGTATCGATAAGCTCAGTAAGAGAAATTAATTGAAAATGGTTGAGCAGTTCAGAACAGACAGGATAATTGTAAATATGTGCAGTTGTCGTTGGTACAATATTAGACCTAATATCCATGATTTTTTTGAGGAAAAAAGACTTTTCACAGTCAGCATTTGAGGAAGCTGACAGAGCTGGGGGGGCAGGGTTAATAAAACCCTTTTCACACTTATGGAAATCTCCTGAAAAACGCTGGAGATTAGGGTCCCCGGAGGGGCTTTAGGCTATATGTGAACGCAAACAGCCAAATTTTTCGCGCAGACTTTACCCGGAGTTTCTCCGGCCAGACCCCTAGTATTTTTTCCACAAAAAGTCTGAGTGAGCTGATGTGAGAACACCGCAGCAAATTCTCCGGAGAATTCACATCAAGCCAATGGGAAGAGAATGACGTTTATATACAGAGACTGCCGCACGGTGCAGCAGTCAAGTGTCTGCACGTGACCACCCAATGCACGTAATTAAAACGCTGCATTATATTTTCTGTTCATCAGTATGTTGTTCTCCGCTCTTTTGTGGATGTTGTCATTCCATTGGACTACACATAACATTGATTTAAAGTCAAATATTCTCATTATAGCGTTGTGTAGCGGACTCTGTTGCTTCGGCCGCTACTTCTAAAGCTATTAACTAAGTCAACTAAGTAACTGTGTTGAGATAGTAAAGATGGAGTTTGGTTTATTTGGCCAAGGGAAAAATAATTAGAAAATTTAGAAGCACTATGTTCATTAAAGATACGTGAACAAATAGTACTGCTGGGGTATTTTTGGGGCAGTATCAAACACAGTGCTGAAGTAGACACACAAATGATCTGAGATAAAAACGTTTTCCAAGGCCAAACCTAGAGTAAAATCTAATGTGTGGCCCCTGTTGTGAGTTGGCCCAGATACATCCTGTACTAGGTTACTCAGTGATTTTTAAAAACTCAGTTGAAAGACCATTAGAGGGATCATCAATATGGATATTAAAGTCACCAGCAATAATAAGTTTGTCAAAGCCAGCAAATTAATTTAAAAAACTATCATTGGACCCGGAGTCCCTATGGCAATATTCAACGTCCTCGACAAACTGATAACAAAGTTTATATGGCAGAACAAGAAACCAAGAGTAAGACTTAAGACACTATTACTACCAAAGAAAAACCTAACCTCAAATACTACTACTGAGCAGCACAACTGAGGACCTTAATAGCATGGATAACTAACGATATTGATACCGGCCTGGTCAGTATAGAACAAAATTCATGTCCAGACATCCCTTTAAGGGGGCTTCCATTTCTAAGCCAAGTGAACTGGAAGAAGTTAAAAATAAAGAATGAATGGATAAAATTCACGATGAAGACTTGGCTGGATATAAAAAAAACAATTTCATCTTTTTACTTCTATAACCAGGACATTTAAAATTGTAGCTATTCCAGGATTTTTACCTATTAAAACTGTTAACGGCTTCAGAAAATGGTCGGACAAAGGGTTAACTACCGTTAATCAGCTCTTCAAGGGGAAGTATTGAAATCTTACGAACACCTCCAGAGAGAATTTGGTTTATTAGGGATGGATGCTTTAAGATTTCTCCAGGACACTATCTAGAGACGCATTAAGACTGGGAGCTGGTATGTAAGGGCGCGGTCACACTGGCCATCAGTACGTGCCCAAGCACGCTTCAACACTAAAGTCCAGTTCGTTTGACCAGTGGGACCGCTCCATATCTTGCTCAGACACGGTACACTTCCTTGGCTTTGGCACACTTTGGAGAGGTGTGCTTCAGCACGGTACACTTCATGCACGAGCACAAGCACGCGGGTACACAACGCTGACAGCCTTCATTATGGAGAAATCCAGAGTTTCATGTCTGTATCTGACTAACATGAAACAATATAAGACACAAAGAAGCTGTCATGTTCTCTGTGTTGTTCATTATTTAATGGCTGTGTAATTATTTATGGCTGTGTCTGATTAAAATGGCTTAAAGGGCCCATATTATGCTTTTTCTGGTTTTATATACTCTTATAGTGTGTTTTCCAAGTGTCCTGTGCATGTTTAGGCACATCTATGTGCAAAATTTCAAAGTCTGCGTAAACGCGGCTTCTCCTCTGTCCTCCTGTTAGCTGTAGCATTAGCTGCATGTCGTGCTCAGTTCTAGTCCCACTCGGAAAAAATTTGCCAGTGTGACGTCTTGTCAGTGTGAGATCACTGATCTAAGCCATTGGCTCGTTGTGGCAAGCCCAGCAGCTCATGTTGCACGCACGTTAACTTCTGTGGCACGCCCACGATATGCGTAGCGCTAAGGTGCTAATGTTTATGCTCCCCTCGGACAGAGCCAGTGGCTGCATTCCCAATATGGTAAAAGACGCGGGACATTTCCGAGAACCGTGCTGAGCGACTGACCAATTACGGCAGAGCCGACAGGCCGACCAATCAGATCAGACTTGGCACACGTGGGGACTCTGAACGTGGGCACTTCAGAGCCTTAGAGAGAGAGTCAGAAGTGAGCCGGTGCATGGAGCAACAGAACATGAAAACAGACACTTTTTTCGAACTTTAGCTATTGCGAACATACTTTAGTAGGTACATAGATTAAATATATGAACCCCAAAAAGGGCATAATATGGGCTCTTTAAAATGAGCTGCAAAGTCAGTAAAGTAGCTGTCATGCTCTCTGTGTTTTTCTCTGAGGTACAGACACGGACTCGACTGCGCGTCTCTTTTTCTCTCACTCTCTCTCTCTCGCTCTCTCTCTCTCTCTCTCTCTGTCTTTTCTCTCTCTCTCTCGCTCGTCCGCCTGTTTTTAAACTGAGCACGCTTCATAATAACATAAAGCGTGCATGTGTTGAATTACGACGTTATGTACAAGAGGTAATCGTCCTTTTGGGCATGGTTAGTCCTGGCCATGTGGGTATGGCACAGCAGGGGGCCAATCGTCCTTAATGATAATAATAATAATAATACATTTTAATTATAAGCGCCTTTCAGGACACACAAGGACACTGTACAACAATCAACATTTTTAAAAACAGCGATGGATAACAAAAACAGCATACAATAAAGAAATGGAATTGTGGACAGTGTAATTACAGTTAAAAAGTTAGAGTGAGTAGGCGATCTTGAACAGATGGGTTTTGAGTCTGGAGAGAGTCAATATTGCGAATGTCTGGTGGCAGAGAGTTTCAGAGCTGGGGAGCAGAGCAGCTGAAAGTTCTGCCCCCCATGGTGCTGAGGCGGGCAAAGGGAACGGTGAGGTGGATGGAGGAGGAGGATCTGAGGGAGCGGGCTGAAGTGACAATGTGAAGGAGGTCAGACAGATATGGGGGGGCAAGGTTGTGGATGGCTTGAAGGTGTACAGGAGGAGTTTGAAGATGATTCTTTGATTCACCAGGAGCCAGTGGAGTTGCTGTAGGATGGGGGTGATGTGATGGTATGAGGGGGTTTTGGTGACAATACGGGCAGCAGAGTTTTGAACCAGTTGGAGCTTATGGAGGGACTTATGAGGGAGGCCGAAGAGGAGAGAATTACAATAATCAATACGGGAGGTGACGAGGCTGTGGACAAGGATGGAGGCAGTATGGGGTGAGGGAGGGGCGGAGACGGTTGATGTTTCGTAAGTGGAAGTATGCAGGCCGGGTAATGTTATTGATATGGGATTTGAACGATAGTGTGCTGTCGAGGATGACACCCAGACTCTTAACCTGAGGGGAAGGGGAAACTGAGGAGCTGTCAATAGTGAGGGAGAAACTGCCAACTTTGGATAATAAGGATTTAGTGCCGACGAGAAGGATCTCGGTTTTTATCACTGTTTAAGTTAAGGAAGTTTGAGGAGAACCAGGATTTTATTTCAGATAACAGAAGTGAGGGAGGAGGGTGGAAGTGTGGAGTTTGGTTTACTGGAGAGGTAGAGCTGGGTGTCATCCGCAAAGCAGTGGAAAAGTATATTGAATTTACGGAAAATATTGCCAAGGGGGAGAAGGTAGGTGATGAAGAGAAGGGGCCCCAGGACAGAGCCTGGGGCACACCTGTAGTGACTGGGGAAGGCGCGGATTTGAAGGATTTGAGCTGTATGAACTGAGTGCGGCCTGAGAGATAAGAGTGGAACCAGGTAAGGGAGGTGTGAGTGATGCCAATGGAGGAGAGTCTACTGAGGAGGATGGGGTGTGAGATAGTGTCAAAGGCTGCACTCAGGTCAAGAAGGATGAGGATAGAAAGTAAGCCGGAGTCAGAAGCAATGAGGAGATCGTCAATCAATAGTCACAATCAAATTATACACACAAAAATAGCATGCAAATGGTGTATGCTATACCTTTAAAGCTCTTGTGTTTTGTTTTATCAGGTGACGCTTGTCCACTCAAGCGAGGCTGTCACAGTTCTGCACAGGCTGAATAGAGAACATCCTGAAAGGGTTCTCTTTAAAAGCCTCTTCCGCTCAGGTTCAAGCTCTGAAACTACCTCCTGTAATGTTTGCCTACGTCAAACCAACCAGCCACAGTGCAACTACACTGACCTCCGTACAGGCGAGCCTTGGTTCTGCTACAAGCCAAAGAAGCTGAGCTGTGATGAAGGATTAACCACATGAGAGACGGATTCAATGTAAGACTCAAGGACAAAGAGGAGAAGCTTTTTCCAAAGGTGAGGGAGCACAGCAGTAGAAAAGTTGCATCTAGTTTGTAATGACTGTAAGTATATAGTATGTGTCACCTGCTGGAAAATGTTGTGTTTGTAACTACAGGTGGCAAAGATGAAATCTTAAGATGTTTATAGTGTAAGATAATACCTACCAAAATACTTAATCTGAACAATTAAAGTTGACACTCATCAACAAAACTATGAAGTGTATATTTTTAGTCCAAATATGGAGGCAGAGTAATTTAATAAAACTAAAGTGTTACATTTGTTAAATCATGTTTGACATTTACAAATGTAGTGTGTTTAGAAGTTCTTAATGGGAGTTTTTTCCCCCAGCAAAGTCAACCTGAAAGTCTTCATTCACTCTTCAGGACCGGCCAATGTCATGGTGCTGCCTCCAATGAAAGGTAAAGCACAACTTTTCTACTTCCACATTTTAAAGATATCCATGTGAACTTAAAAATAAAAATGGTTTGGTAAAAATAAATAAAACCTTCCTCTTTGTATTCCAGCCAGAGCATTGGCGGAATGAAGTACTACACAATAAAAAAAATAAAGTGACAATAGCTGTTTATCTTTGCCTTGTAGAAAAGATATCCCATATAAAGAAAAAATAAATAAACTAAC